TTTATTTGTAAGGATTTTTATGCAGTTCCGGAACCCATCATAGACTCAAATTCATTTTATTAAAAATATTCAAAACTGACATGTGAGTATAAATAATTTCTTCCTTAGAAAGGGGACTATGAGTAAAAGTTGGATTATCACTTGTAGAATTAAATCCAGTTCCTTCTAAAATAAAATTTATATGAGCCTAACAAACGAAGACAAAGTTGTTACCTGCTTTGTCAGAAGAGACTAGTACGTCCTTATCATGTAATATATCTAATTTTCCACTTCTGGAATATTGAATACAGAACGATAGATGGCTTTCATATAGTCTCTCATCTTTTTCTTATGTGGTGGTAACAAGGATCTGATACATTTAATCAATTCTGACATATTTTCAACGTCTTCCTTTTCATATCTGGCCCATCACCTGGCTTAATCTTGTACAGAATCCATGATATTTATGAAAATTCGAACGCATATTGAAGAATTGGGGTTGCCTATATTTAGGACCCTTCAAAATTATTGACCTAAGATTCTAAGATCGATTGCTATTATTAACTTGTTTTCTATTTGCTTAGTCTCTGAATGAAAAATAAATTATTTTAATAACTGAAAACATTCATTGAAAAAGACTATAACAAGAGTATGTATGTATGTTTGTATGTATGTAGTATGTATATGCATTTCCTGTTTCAAAACCCTTCCACGTGTGTACTGTTTTGTGACGTCTCGATCTTGACTTTAAGGTTAACCCCAGAGACTTTTTCAATTTTTTCTATATTGTTATTAACTTTTGAAGAAATGAAGAAATGACTTTCATATTTCGAATGCATTTTCTCAATAACACTGTAGGAAAGCCGATGACCGTAATATATAATACAGTCATCAAAACATGTCGGCCGCGGTCATCGGTAAGAATTTTCAGTCAATATTTCAAACATTTGCTAGCTTATCTGTGTAAATTCTTGCAAAAGAAGTCGGTTCACCTTATGCATAAAATGGCCCTGTAGATATACCAATAAATTGATCAATACTTGATTTTCTATTTGAAGCATTAAAATAAAGTAGAGACTTGGTGCTTTCATATCCTGTTAAAAAAATTCTTCTAAAAGTCCAGGTCTAAGAGAACTGGCTTTATGAAATTGCAATGTTCTTGAATTTTTAGGTAAACAGGTATAATTGAGTACTTTTAGTGAAGAAAAATAATATGAGCGCATTCTCTGATCTAAAAAAATAAAACATGTCCATTAATCCCCAGAAGCAGTTCTATCATTTACTAGTTGTATATTTTAGATCAGAGGTTGCGCTCTATATCAAATATCAAAAAATAGCTTTGAAAATTGGCCGTTTTATAGACTTTTTCAGAATATGAGGAAATTGACGCATTTCGTGACGTCATAATGCATTGACTAGCCAGAAATGACGTCATTTTTGATAGATACGCAGTCACCAAAGATCTAAGTGATATTTAATGCATTATTAACTAAAACTTTGCAGTGTCAGTTTTTCAGAAATTCACAGGGCCAAATAAAGCAAATGTGAACCTTGTTCTTTCAGTGCATATGCTCAGATTAAATTCCAAGATTAGATGCTCTTTAAGAATGGGAAAAAGCAATCCTTTTACTGGAGAATAGACTTGAAAAATGGACAGTGGAGATGTTTTTAAAATCCGTAGATGGTACGCACATCCAATCGTTCTTCAAGAAAATTTGGTGCAACCAACTATGGACCCACATCACATTTATGTAAATACATGTAATAGAGTAGCCTGCTGCTCCAAAGGAATTAAGGACGTGGGCAATTCACCAGATGCTTAGTGGAAAGTCGCAAAAAAAACGAACAACACGGGGTTATCAGTAGAAATTGACTGTAATTTACAAAACAGAAAAAGTAATGAATTTGGACAAACAACTTTTAGTGAGAGAGTGGAAAAAAATAATGGAAGAAAATGGGGATTACAATGAAGCAAACTGGTGTCATTTGATAAGAAACTGCTACAACGCTATAGACACAGCTACAGTCTCTCTAAAATTTAGAGTTGAATAACTTTTAGCCATAATGACTCTTGGATCATCTCAATGTTGGGACACTTTACTTCCCCATGTGTATTTGTACAAAAAATTATGGGATATCGACAAATGTAGATCAACGGTTACAGATGTATGCAGTTGTTATAGACAGCACATACAACCAACGTGCAGTTACCAGTTTAGATTCTGAAACATTTTTTCGGCATTCAAGGTAACAAAAACACTTAAACACTTTTTACTTAAAGAGTAATTAATATGTGTTATATGAAATATTATATGTAACATGTTTAAAATCGCATATTAAGGATTACGATCTAAAAGGAAGCGGTGTGTTGCGACCAAAAGATGTTTCAACAGCCCTTGGATCTGCTGTTTGCATAGTTTCATAGCTCATCAACGCTTAAACCCAACAAGATTAAATATTAAACTATTAAACTGATAAAGACTGTTAATTGTATGTATTCTTCAGAATAAATTTATTATTATTAAATGCTACTCCTAGTTTCTGAGAACAATTCCATTGAATATTGAAAAATACTCAAGCCTTTTGAATTACAGACTGATTCACATGAAACTACTCATAAGAAGAGAGTTTATCCTGTTCACCAGAGGTATTTAGCAACACCATCTCCTCCAGCAGAAAGCACTGAGACTTCGGAAAAGGAAAATCACATCATGCTCGGGTAAATATAATAACAGTATACTAGTTATTATTTCAAACTATTATGCAAATGAGATGTCTGATATTGGTGGTATAAAGACTGCCAATTTAAAGCTCGTCAATTTAGAAATCACATTATTTTGATTTACCTGAAAGAAAATCAACAAGAGGCCCAAGGGCCTTGAATCGCTCTTCTGATAAATTGTACAACCTATCACTTCTATTTGAAGCCTCTAACCCTAAGTATTCTAAGAGCCAAGTTGCATCAACTGACAAAGTTTGATGATTCTTAGCCAATTATAACTGAAGATATTTTAATAAAGCTATAAAAAAAAACCATAAGTAGGTCACAATGACCTACTTTAAGATTGAAGTTTTCTGAGGACTCAAGATGTATTAATAGACAAAGATTGAAGATTCTAAGCCAATAAGTATGTGAGATAGTCAAAAGTAAGTCACTTTGACCTACTTTTTCATCTACATTCTTAGAAAAACCAAAATGCATCAACTGACAAAGTTTGATTATTCCAAGGCAATAAGTACTGGAGATACTTAATTATAGCCATAAAATGTTAAAAGTAGGTCACTGTGACCTAATTTTTAGTAGGCGATTTTCGAAAGGCCAAAATACATCAACTGACAAAGTTTGATGATTCTCAGCCAATATGTATCCGAGATATTCAAAAGTAGGTCACCATGACCTACTTTTTGGTCATCACTCTCTGAAAACCCAAGATGCATCAACCCACAAAGTTTGATGATTCTAAGCTTATAAGTACCTAAGGTACTTAAATAAAGCTATAAAATGTCAAAAGTAATTCACCGTGACCTACTTTTTGGTCGTCACTCTCCAAAAACCCAAGATGCATCAACTCACAAAGTTTTGATGATTCTAAGCTTATTAATACCTAAGATGCTTAAATAAAGCTATAAAATGTCAAAATTAGGTCACCATGACCTACTTTTTGGTCGTCACTCTCCGAAAACCCAAGATGCATCAACTCACAAAGTTTGATGATTCGAAGCTTATAAATACCTAAGATACTTAAATAAAGCTATAAAATGTCAAAAGTAGGTCACCGTGACCTACTTTTTGGTCGTCACTCTCCGAAAACCCAAGATGCATCAACTCACAAAGTTTGATGATTCTTAGCCAATAAATACCGAAGATACTTAAATAAAGCCATAAAATGTCAAAAGTAGGTCACCGTGACCTACATTTTAGTCAACATTTTTCAAAGTCCCAAGATGCATCTGCTGACCAAGTTTGATGATCGTAGGTCTGAAGGTAATCAAAATATGCTTTTTAAACAATATGAAAACATATGCCTGCAAAATTCAAAAAGTAGGTCACAGTGACCTACTTTTTCATAAATATGTTTTATGGTCCCAAGATGCAGCAATTTACAAGATTTGATGATTTTAACCGTCTCAGTGGCTGCAATAATGGGATTAAATGTTTTAAAAAGGATAAGTCATAAAGTTCAAAAAGTAGGTCAAGGTGACCTACTTTTAAGTTGATGTTGTTCAAGGACCCAAGATACATCAACTAACAAAGTTTGATGATCATAGGCCTTAAAGTGTCCAAAATATAAATCAATTTGAAAACAAATGCCCGCAAAATTAAAAAAGTAGGTCACTGTGACCTAATTTTGATTTAACATGATGTGAAGTCTTAAGATGCATCAACTTACAAGATTTGATGATCCTAGTCCTTATAGTAAGCAAAATATAAACGTTTTTATCAATTGTAAATTTAGGTCAACTTTGAAGTGATCTTGAGACCACGCCCTTTGCCCCAGGGTCATGCCTTGAATAATTTTTAATCTTCAACATATTCTGATCATTGTGTGTAAGTTTGGTGAAAATCTGCCCGGTGGTTCTGGAGAAGAAGATTTTTTAGCAACCAGTACTTTTGGTTTTGTTTTCCTGATTATCTCCCCTTGTTTAAGGGTCCCAACCCTTATTTTAGTACAAATGGTAGCCCTTGGGCCAAGGATACCCTGTGACAAATTTGACCCTGATTGGCCAAGGCGTTCTTGAGTTATGGCCCATTTTCTAAAAAGTTAACGCACACCGCACGACGCACACCGCACAAATGGCCATAGCATTAGCTCTTTGAGCCTTTGGCTCAGAAGAGCTAAAAATACCTAAACAAAAGAGTGGCCCCATACAACATTTGGTCTGCCAGGGAGACGAGCATCTGGTGTTCGAATTTACCAAAACCCAAATAAAGAAAGGATTTTACCACATATACGATATGGACTTGATGATGATTATGTAGTCCATAGCCTTCCAAAAAACAGAAGCTCCAATAACCATACTAAAGTGAAAGATTTATTATTTAATACACATGTGACTGTATAATACATATTTATCCCATTGTTTACATATATGCTATATGAATTGCACAACTTTTCTATTACATTTCTTCAGCAAAGAACAGATAAAGTTTGACATTCAACCAGTTGTAAAAAGCAAAGATTATTAGGCTTCGTCACACATGAATGAACATGACCATTACTGGGAATGTTTCTTCTTTAAGTGTCTCTTGTAGTTACTTTCATATTTAAAATCTTTAGCACAGATCATACATTTATATGACTTACATTCATGAATTGATTTAACATGTCTTCTTAGACTCTTTTCATATTTAAATAATTTGAAACAATCTTTGCATTCAAATTCCTGTTTTAGATGGACAGCTTTCAGATGGATCACTAGGTCTTTCTTGTGTGTAAACTCTCTTGGGCACTTATGACATTCAAACTGTTTGATCTAGAAAAAAAAATACCAACATATAAATTCAATGAAGTCAGTGTAATATGGCTGTCAATTATTTATATTCAGTTGAACCATGAATGACAGTGCTAAAAAAATTAATGAAGTTATTGAACAAATTTATACCTTTTTCAGTTAAAAGAAATAGATAAGACTTATATATATTTTTTGCAGTTGCCTAATGACTATCTGAAATTGTACCAGACCCAAACTTTTTTCAGTTATTCTGAGTTACTTTAAGTTTCCAGGATATTGAAATTCTTTCCTTTTCTGTTTTTGTTTTTTAACCCATTCAAAGACTTTTCGCAAGTGTAGATTATTTATGTTTAGTTCCTTTTTTTTTAGTTATTTGTTATCTAAGAAAAAGTCAAAAAACTATTTTTTTTTTCGAGAAAAAAAAACAATAAAAAAAAAACAAAATTTAAAAAATAATAATAAAATAAACATAACAAGAGGCCCATGGGTCATACCGCTCACCTGGGAAGCTTTGACTATGTTGTTCTTTACCAGATTTCCCCCTTGCAAAATCTACACTATCCCAGGATGCTTCCACATAAGTTTCAGCTTTTCTGGCCCAGTGGTTCTTGAGAAGATTTTCAAAAAATTTTTCTATATATTTCTATGTAAAAATTTGATTCCCCATTGTGGCCCCGCCCTACCCCCTGGGGTTAGGATTTTAATACTTTAAATTCTATACTACCCAGGATGCTTCCACATAAGTTTAAGCTTTTCTGGCCCAGTGGTTCTTAAGAAGATGACTTTTAAAGTTTTCCTATTTTTTTCTATGTAAAACTTTGATTCCCTATTGTGGCCTCACCCTATTCGAGGGGGTCATGATTTGAACAATTTAGAATCTACACTACCCCCAGGATGCTTCCACATAAGTTTCAGCCCAGTGGTTTACAAATGGACAGACGGACGGACGACGGACAAAATGTGAACAGAAAAGCTCACTTGAGCCTTCGGCTTAGATGAGCTAAAAGTATATCAACCAAACTACCGGCTATAAAAATTATAGGTTGATAACTACAAATAAAGATTATTTTCAGTTTGTTCTTACTCACCCCATAATGTTTCAGGATGTGATTTTTGTGCATTGCTTTTTTGAAAAATCCTTTATTACACTGATTACACTTGTAAGGATAGTCTCCAATGTTATGTGCTATTGTCTTGTGCATGACTAGCATTTGGCTGGATTTATACAGTTTACCACATAGGTCACAACAATATCCGCCTAAAAGTATATATAGAAAAATTTAATATGCAATATAATTCCATGTAAGATATCTATACATTATTCATAACATTTCAACTTGAAAAATAATCCTCAACAAAGTTTGGTAACTCTATAAATTTTGCATTTGTATTGAAGATACGAATTTATTTCGTAGTATCTCAAACACTGATATCTCAAGTACTATGAAAATATTACAGGGGATTTGAATTCCCAATGGACAATTCCTTAAATATTACACACAGGATATCTTGAACTCTTGAATATATATCTCGTAGTTGTTTTTACGGTCCTATCATGTTTGAGATAATGGGGCTTGACATTTATATACAGGAATTAGAGTTGATATACGCTCAGTGGTTTTTTGCATTTCAAAAGCAGATCAGATTTATAAATAAGGCAATTTTGTTCTGAGTTTATAAATGTCTAAGTACCATAATAGTCAAAAAAACATTAAAATATATGATGTTTTTGAAGAAAAAATGAAAATTCTTTAATCTAAGTTTTAGTCCTTGAGTTGACAATACATTTAGTACATGTGCTACCTAACAGATATTTATATCTAAAATGAATATTGTACCTCCTTTCCTAGGTGCAGTTGTTGCCACTGGTGGGTCCGGATCAAGCTTCAATTCCGAACCATCATTACCAGGTATCTCTGTAAATTATAGCGAAGTTCTGTATGAGAATCACTACCTAGTGCATATTTAAATAATTTTTTTAATTCTTCAATTTAAAAAAAAATCTTAGTTAATTTTTGCTTGAAGTGTAGTGGCAAACAAAGAACTATAATTCAAGATAGAATATTAACATTATACATGTTAAGAAAATAGTAAAACATCCAATTATTTTCAGTCAGACTTTCGAAACCTAATGTTTAAAAAATTCAATAATAACACTGATTTTTGTTTATTAGAATACCTCTGCTATAAATTAAAGCCACTGAATGGATGATGTAAGACAATGAAGAGTTCAAGTCTTGTAACACAAGGGTTGTCCGGTAAAATCGTGGAAAAGGCGTTTTTCTCAAAAGTAATGGATGCACTAAGCTGAAATTTTCAGAAAATGTTTATTTATCATATTTAAGTGCATTATATTTTTTTGGTAATCTATAAACAAAAAATAAAGATTTTATTATGCTTAAATGTGCACATGGTACGGTCTTACGACGCACTGCCAAAAAAAAATCAAGGTTTTATTAGAGAATACAGTACACAAGTATTAATTCGAAATACAAGTTTTAAATGCATAAGATTGGGATAAAAATTATTCCTATTCGATTTCACAATCTATTTTGTCTTTTTAAAATTTTCAGTGCATTTGGTAATTTTTTTGGCAGTTTCCAGAGAATTCGAAATGGGAAAGTGGTAAACACAATACACAAAAGATGGCAACGTTTGATGACGTTACGGCGCATGCACCGGATAGCAGTTTAGTTTGATTTGGAGGTTGAAATGACATCCTATTAACGGACAAACTGCTATTGTATTAGCAAAAGACGCTGTCACTGCCGACCTTCGATATGTTCGTCTATTAGTTGGACAATGGTGAGAATATTGTCTGTAACTAACTATTAAATCTTCATATGTGTTGTCAGATTGGTTCCTCAACTGTTTATGTAGACCAAAGTATGTGCATCAATGAAATTCATAAATTTAAAAGGGACTTGTCCAACTTTATTTATAGCAAAAATGAAACATGACGCTGCTTTTGACATTATCATCCATGCGGCATAAGGCGATACAATATATAACATAAAATCTCATAATTTGTTTATTTATGCATATATTTATTTGAAATTTGTTATGTTTAATCAATTTCATAACATATGAAGTAATAAGTTGGAAAATTTCAGAACACAGTGATGATTATTTTTCACACTACACAACTTGTCAACGATTTTACCGGACACCCATCAAATGTATTGTAAATTTTTTTTTTAGTAAAATAAAGGAATTAAAAATAAATATAATGCGGCTTGGCATAATAAAACTAAAATTAAATTAAAAGAAACCTTGTAGACATGTAACAAAATAACAGTATGCCAGAATGTTGAATCTAGTGCAGAAAATATTTTGCTTCCATTATAAACAGGAGCTGCAAATTGATTTTCTGAGAAATTCACTCGTGTATAATTCTTCCATTGAATGTCTACTAAATAACTGTCGTTAAATTATCACACACCCTTTTTCTCCCTGTCTCAAATGAATTCAATAACACTAGATGTAACTTATGCCAATATACCTCTATTTATTATATTTGATGTATCCTGAATTATATAAAAAAAAACTTATAATAGAATATTATTATCATAATTACATAAAATCCACATTCATTGCATGCAGTTGTAACTTGTATGCACAGACATACTTATAAATAGAAACTATTATGAACAGGCATATATACACAGAATGTATAGGCCTATATATATATTTTTTTATCAAATTAACTTTGACAAAATTCAGTACTGACCATTGGCTTATTTCCATCCAAGAGATTAACGACTGTACATGTACATCCAACGAACATGGGTGAAGGTGAAAGTACAAAATAAAATTATTAAATCATTCTTAAAACGTTTTTATTAATTAGTTCTTTTTTATGACCTCCATACTAATTCGTATATAGGTCCCTGTCAAAATCTAACTTTAATAGAACATGTAGAACTGATGTAAAATAAGATATTATACGTATCAAATGATTTCGTACATGTACTACGACCATCTCTATAATTATATTACAGTCATCACCTGCTTTGTTGAGTGTGTTTGTTACGATCATTATTGTCAAAAACTTTGAGGTCGTACAACAGATTTATTTTCTTAAGGTTAAATAACACAAACTTTTTTTTCAGAAATCAGCAATATTTTTCATAGATTTACATTTGAATTGGTAAGCTGAATAATGTTTACCAAGCATAGTGGGAGAATTTAAGACTTTGTCATAAGGTTCAAAATTTGTGCAAAATTTTGTGTGGAATTATATAGAAAGCTAATCAAAGTCTCTTATCTACCTACGATTTCTTTATCTTTCAAAGATTTATTATTTATGTCATTTCAAATCAAAATCAGTCAAAAAATATATACCAGTATCAATCCAAGCATCCGTTTTTTGTTTGTGTTACGTACGTTAGTTATAATAACCAATAGGAAGTTGTCATGAGCGTACATTCAAATTTTGCAAGAATTTACACAGATAAGCTAGCAAATGTTTGAAATCATGACTTAAAAATTCTTACCGACGACCTCGGCCGACATGTTTTGATGACCATACTATATATTACGGTCATCAGCTTTCCTACAGTGAATAACAACACCTTTCAGAAAGGTAAACAATCTTTCAGAAAGGTAAACAATCTTTCAATATATGACATTGATCTGTAAATTTTACCTACTTATCACAAATGTAAATTTTGGCCACAATTTTCTATCAGTGGAACTTTTTCCCCTTTACTTGCAAAAACACCTTTCGGATTGTATTATATCTGACCTTAAGGCCTCGATCTTGAAGTTTGATGCAGTTTTAAGAAGCTTAATCTTAGTCGAATGATTTATTTATTCAATAATTTATAGTTTCTTATATGATGGACAGTCAAGTCAGGATAAACGAATAAAACAGTTACAATATGCCATAAATACTGTCACCCAGTCATAAATACACCAAAAGCGCGGCGGACCACAACTACAAGTTATTGAAATTTTTTGTGCTCTATGACTACAGATTATTCCGAAATTGTCCAAATTCAAGAAGATATTTTTCTCAAAGAAAATCGTGAAAAGATTGTTTATTAACTCTTCACCAACATACATTTTCATTTCAACTCAGAAATGCTAACTTTACAAACATTCTTCAAGTGGTATCCTAAAGATTCCTTTGTTTTAAGTGCCTTTCCACAACGTTTACAAATAAATCCAGCTTTTTCGTTGTGTGAAAGTATGTGTTTTTTCAGAAAACTTTGGTATGGAAACCTTTTGTAACAGATTGGACACTTGAAGTTGGACTGTTGTCCATGGACAGCTGTCACGTGATACTTGAGGGCGTTCACAGAACTGAACTCACGCCCACAATCCCAACATAAACAAGGTCTTCCGTGATATTTCTCTTCAAAAAGGTGTCTCTTGAAAGCAGACTCGTTTAGAAACTGTTCTTTACATATCATGCAAGATCTGATCTTTTTACCAAACTCTTCTTCTCTTGTTTCTGAAACTAAAAGAAATTAAAAAGAAATCAAAATTTATTCAATTTAATTGTTGCATTTTATAACCAATTAAAAACTCTTTGCTATAAAGATCCCTCTTAATCATATTTTCGAGAAAAAAAATGTTTGAATAATGTGTCCTTAAGTGCGTTCTTTGGTCAATTTTAAGACATATGCTGATCAACATTCCCTGATAATGCCCATCACAAAAATGAACCTAACATTATATGAAGGTATCACACCGGTAACTGACCAATCAAAATGAACTTTCAATCAAATGTAGGTCCATATATATAAAATTGATTTTCCTTTCTTTTAAGACGTTTTTCATTTTCTTCCAAGCCATTTTTACAACTTTGGTACCTGTGCCTAGTAAATTTTATGTACTTTGTGAATAAATAAAGGTTTTTGACAGGAACTATTTTTTTCATGGCATAGGAGGCTACTTCCTGTAGTGCACTAGAGGTGTTTATAAACACAGTGAAAACACGTGGATTTGAGGGTAGCCGTGTTTGCAGATGGAAAAAGTCCAAAATGCCGTGTGGGTACCCTGTTTTTTGGTGTCAGCTACGTGACAGGTAATGTTTAACACCTCCTGCTAAATATTTTTTCATGTAAACAAATACCTGATTTTTAACGATTTTTTATGCTATATAGAATTATATAATGAAAACAATTACCGGTGTGATACCTTGAAGGTGATTATGAAAAATCATTTAAATCCTTGTTAAAAAGAAATTTCTAATTCTGAAA